TAAATGGTCTTGTCCTTTACCACCTCTTTACTGAGTAACCCATTCAAGGAGTGAACACACGTTGCTGGTGTTTGAATAAAAGAACTCGTCTGACTCGTTTTTAATAAGATACAAGCATTTGTTTACAGTGATTGTGTTGTGTAATATTTGTAAAAAATAAACAACTATTTTATTTTTCTTAACCACACTCATTAGGATGAGCTGTCTTGTATTCATTCTCTGATTTGTATTTCCCATATATATCCTATAGAGAATTTATTAACTAACAAGGGCTAGTTGCCAAAATCAAGAGAACTCTTCAAAGAGATATATGACAAATACATTTCAAAGAGGGGAAATGGGAAGCTCAGCTTTGTCATGGGGACAAGAATGCAAGTTGAAACAGGGACAGAGAGAGAAGTAAAAACATGAAAGAAAGCACACACACACACACGCATGTACGTTTGGACATAGTTTAAATGCAGCGAATTGTAAAGTCAGCGTGTGCCTTTATAGACCATATTTTTATTAGCGCTGTGACCTATTTAAATATCATTAACAATAACTGCTTGGGATGTGGAGGGCCAACTCAAGTACTATATAGATTGTATTGCAGGAATGCTGAAAATGTTCTTCTGAACTTCCCTTTCACTGTACTCAACACTGGAATGGTTTGTGTGACTTTCCAACAATAATGGCATGGTGTTGTTTTATGGCATCATCGAGTTATGCATGGCCAGCATGTTGCCTTAAGCCCGCCATGCATGGATTCAAATTCGATTGATTCAGCAGGGATCAACTGAATTTCAGTCCATGTATGGATCAGCTGGTTGTACACAAGTTGATCCAGTCATTGACTTGTGTACAAGCAGCCTGTCCTGTTGCCCCCCCAATGATTAGTGACGCAAACTGATTATTGAATATTGCTGGATGGGAAGGCTCTCGCTGGCAGTACATAATAGCGCTGCTGGAAGGATTCCCCCATCAGCATGGAGTGTGTTGATGGGGGAATTGGCACATTTATTTTTCATTCAACACGCTGGTTGAACCAGAAAATGCATAATATATGACCAGCCTCACTGTATATCAGACCTAGCATGAGCACGATTACATCTTAGAAGGCAAGCTTCCCGGCTGCAAACCTGCCTGAATCTCACTGTCACAGCCTACCACACTTGTTCTACTGCTGTGTGCCAAGTCCTGTCTGTAGGACACTAGAAATTCTGAAGGACCCTCTGCACACTGGTATATACCCTTTCAAGCAGACTATGCAGTCAATAGGGATATTTAGTTCACACATATTGCAATAAATTGCTTAAGCTGGCCAACTGCGTCAAAGTAATCCCTCTATGGCCAGTCCTACTCTGCTGTGCCTATGCAAATGCTACTGTGGACACAATGCTAACATAGGGGAAAAGACACAATGGGGGAGTAGGCAGAGTAGGACTGGCCATAGAGGGATTACTGTGAAGCAGTTGGCCAGCTTAAGCATGTATTGCAATATGTGTGAACTAAATATCCCTATTGATTGCATAGTCTGCTTGAAAGGGTATATACCAGTGTGCAGAGGGCCCTTCAGAATTTCTAGTGTTAATATGTGGTTACACCCCTTTTAGCACCTGATGGATAAATGCATGCACTACCTGTTGGGATTTGAGCACAGGGATCTCTTGTCTGTCTGTAGGACAGTCTCCCAAGAATGTCCAGGTGGTGGTCCCATAAGTCTACAAGGACCCAACATACTTTTCTCATGTGAAAAAGAAATAAAAAGGTGAAATAACTGCAATTTCCCTTCTAAAGTGCTGGTCATTCCAGTTTTTAATATCCACTTTCCATATTTTGGAGAGGAGCTTGGTCATGACGCCATTGTCTTCCATGTTTATTGACATTTCTTACTTTAACAATTTAAAATGAAGTCTTTACTGGGGACAGGTGTTGTTGTATGTGTGTTTTTTTGTTTTTTTTAAATATTGGAAATGTATGATGTGTTTTGCTCCCTCAAATCCATCATGTGTTTCCAGCAGCTCTAAATGAAGCTGTTCCCGGGATCCTTTGTTGTTGGCTATATGTCAGCAATCCTAACCAAGCCTCTCACTGAATCAGCAGATTGTGTTTGAGATGAAAACCGAAAGGCATGGATACTATTCAGCATTTTACAGCATTTACTATCAAAATGTCAGTGTGGTTTGCATGTTCATCTTTGCAGCTCTGATTAGTGTCAGCGGTGGTGAGTGTTTACAGCGTGTGTTCATAGTTTGTATCTGTCCTCAGATCCAATATCCGGTTTTAAGGATTTGTCGAAGGAAAAGTTTGTCCATAGAAAAGTGTATAGATAATAAGCAAATATTCTCATTTTGTGAATTTGTTATTTTTTACTCTTATTGTCTAAACATTTTGGTTTGGTAATCAGAAGCTGCAGTTGTAATGCAGAAATGTATTTTATTTATTTTTCTGTGGAACTTTGAATATGGTGTATAATGTGTGAATGGAACAGCATAAACTTTGAGTTTGCTGTGCAAAAAGAGTAAACTTTGTGTCCCATGCAAAACCAAACAATTGTCTTTATCACGAAACCCCAGCAAAACTTTTTTTTTTTTTTTTTTTTTTTTTTTTTTTTTTTTTTTTTTTTTTTTTTTCTACTTTTGAATAAAGTACAAGAAGAATTCTAAGCTGTGTCAGGTTGTTGTGACATGTTCCCACTGGGAAGTCCCCAAGTAATAGAATGTGTACTGGAAAGCGGAAATTTTTCCATTGGGGGCAGAGAAAAAAGTAAACCCCGTGGAGGAGGTAACCTCAGCTGTGTGGTATAATAGAAGTGTGGATTTTGCCAATAGATCTGTTATTGTTTCACTTTCTGTAACAACAGACCAGGCTATCCAGCAAAACTGGCAAGACCACTTTTTTTTTTTTTTTCCATGCTGTGTCATGTTGGTTAATTGTTCATTTTTAGTCATGTTTAAATTATAATTAAGTGGAACTAAAGCCTGCAATCCAGCGATACAACATCCACAAGCTCCCTTTGGTACCACACCTTTTACCTGGCTTCTTTCAGATGCTGAGTCTTCAGCCACCTTGATTGACCTGAAGGAATGGCTGAACTCCCACACATGCACCTCATTGTACATTTGTAAGAAGATTGATAACAGGCAGTTTTTTTTTGTTTTTTTTTTTTTAGTCGCAGTAGAGACATACTGTAGCTTGTCTCTTCTTCTATAAAGAGTCTGCATGCTAGCAATTTTTTTTTTTTTACTTCCAAATTATGATGAGGCTTCATTTATTATATTTGGTTGAATTGATAAAGCTTTAACACCAGCCTAAGGCACTCACTTTTCAGTCATGCGACTGTCGTCATTTTTAAATTTTCATAGGACTGAATTGAGAAAAATGTGTCTTGTGTGGTTTTTTTTGGCTACGTATCCTGGTGTATTAGTCCTTGTGAATTGACTTATGCAGATATTGTTAAACTAGTTCAAGTCCGGACACCTTCACCCCCTTCCAGTCCAGCTTTCAGCACGATCACACTTTTGAGTGACAGCTAATCAGTCATGCAACACTGTACCCATATGAAATTAAAAAAAAAAAAAGTTCTGCTTAGTTTTGTTGTAAATTTAGGCCAAAATGTTTTCTTCCACATTTTCTTGGTAAAATATCCCAAAACCGTGTATATTGGTCTGTGTGAAAGCTATAGAGTCTACAAACTATGGGTTATGTATCTGAAAATTGGTCAGTTGAGACACTAAAATGCTGGACGCTGTATGATGTTTGGCATGATCAGGATGCTGGTATGGGGTATGACGGTGATCAGGACTTTGGCATGAGGTATTGCGGTAATTGGGATGCTGGTATGATGATGATGATCAGGACTTTGGTATGGTGTATGGTGGTGTTCTTGTGAGTGTTGGGACAGGTGACAGGGGCTGGCTGCAATATTTAATAGGACTACAATTGGTGTGGATCAGAGACTCTGGGGCTAGCACTGCAATCTGTGAGTGCACAAGCAGCCTGACAAGCTGCTGCATCAGTTCACACTGAGAGCAGAGAGAACCGATCTTTACTTTGTGATTACTGTGATTGGACACAGCAATCCCATAATAAAACAGCCTGTGATCGCCCATATACAGTGGTAATGTCATCTGCTGTGTCCGGGCGTCATACTAATCACTGGTCTCCTGGGTGTATGCTCTGTGAGCCATGCAGAAGCCACCAGTGTGGGATGATATACAGGTATGTTGGTTCCCATCTGCCATCTATAGATTATGGGCAGACTGGAAGCAGTTAGGGTCACTGAACACTTGACACTTATGCTTAGTACCTTTTTCACTAGCATTTACACTTAATATATCACTGCAAAATATTGAGTAGTGTGTGACTAACATTTCCTTAAAGCGGTATTAAACTCAATATCAAACATTTGTTATATTGTATCTTACCAATTCTTAGAGGTGATGGCTGCATTAGTTTTGTTTTTTGTTTTCTTTATGCTTTCTTTACTCTCACTTTGTGATCCTGCCAGTAAGACTGCAGATAATGTTGAGACAACTATTTTACAACTGACAGGGGTACTTACAATGAACAGCTTTTATTTATTTCTGTAAAGCCTTTATCCCAAAATAAAAGAAAAACTGTTTGCTGTAACTGATTCTAAAGTGTGAGCTGGAGTTTTGCTTCAATTTGTTGGATGTACTAGCAGATTTAGATACATGAACACTCCCCTCCTCCCAGACTGACAATGCTGCTGTCCAAAGGTGCCCCCTGTGCTCCGTTTATCCAGTGTGTGGGCACTCTAATACAGGAGGTGTGTGGGCAGATCACCGGTTGAAAACAGAGAAGGGGAAAAAAGCCTAAACAAGAAAAATAAAACTAATACAGCCACCACATCTAAGGATTGGTAAGCTGCAATATATTAGATATTTGGGTTTAATACTGCTTTAATATACATAGGTTTGTTTTATATGTGTCTATTCATTCTGTGCATTCTAAAAATTGTTAAACTTTTGTTCCCAGTGTCGCAGAACTGACTGATGCCATGTAAACGAAGCAAATCACGTTTTTTACCAAAGATACAACGTGAGACTGCGAAGATGTCTACAAAAGCTCCCATCTACCTGAAAAGAGGAAGCCGTAAAGGAAAACTAAGAGATGTGCTATCTCCAGATATGATCAGTCCCCCACTTGGAGACTTTAGACACACTATTCATATTGGCAGTGGGGAAGGAGATGTTTTTGGGGATGTTTCCTTCCTGCAAGGTAAATTTCATCTCCTTCCTCGATCACATCCTGGATCCTCCACATCATCTTCACCTGATGCAACCCCACCTCTCTCCCATTCAGAGGTACCATCGCCTATCCTAAAGAACGCCATCTCACTTCCTGCTATAGGTGAGCCACAAGCACTTTCCCTTCTGCAGGCTGCCCCACCAAAGCCACCAAGACTTCATCTTGAAGAGAAAACTAGGAGCCCAGTCACAGAGATGGCTCCTTGTGGAGGAATTACAGCAGAGGAAAGGGAAGAAAGGTTTCTTGCTCATGCTGGCTCTCTTCTTTCCCTACACGTGGATTTGGGGCCTTCCATCTTGGATGATGTGCTGCAAATAATGAAAAAAGAGTAGACTAATGGCCACCTTGAGCTACATCTAAAATTCAAAAACTATTTTTTATAAGTATTTGTTTTACACACTACAGAATGTCTTAGTTTCCTATGTGGACACAAACAAGCCAATGCTGCCTAATAAGTAATTATACAGTGTTTTGAGTTGATGCTGTATATACTGATGCTGAGCATCTACATGCTGTATAGTTTTGGGACCTTTACTGGAAGTAAACAGCATTTCATAAGGAATATTTACATTATACCTATAGAGTGGTACACCTTATTCTTAACTAGTCAGAGCAGCTACAGATATTTTGTAATAAGCAGGGTCATTCTTTAGTGCCTTCTTGCCATGAAATGTCACTTTATTTTTTTTTTTCTTTTTATTGTTTTTAATGATCAAAAGCTGTAAATTGTTTATTGGACCAAATACAGAACAATATTTAATGTTGGATGTCATTTATTTGTGCTAAGCTGTGAAATGCATTTTAGGGGACTTGTGTGAAATGCTTAAAAAAATAACCATTTTAGATGTTTTGTTCCTCTCATTTTCAGAATATTCATTTTTTGAATCCCAAATAAATGGAAATGACACAAACAAAGATGACAATCATTAAAAAAAATTACTGTTTTTGAAATTGTTACTTTTTATTCATGTTTTTGTGGAAGTTAGCCGTATTAATCTCAAAAGTAAACATTTTATAATATTGCAGCTTACAAATTCTTACATGTGGTTGCATTAATTTTCTTTGATTTCTTTTGTCTACTTTCATCTGGTGATCTTGCTAATAAGACTCACAAACTCTTTTGTGATAAAAGAGATGAGACAAACCATTTAACACTGACAGGAGTGGTTACAATGATCAGCTTTTATTTATTAATGGGAAACCTTTATTCCAAAAGGAAAAAAAAGTTTGATTTCAATATGTTAGTGTATTTAAATCTGCTAGAACATCTAACATTCCCCCCTCCACCCCCCCCCCCCCCCCTTAGACTGATGATGTTCTTGTCCAAATCTGCCCCTGAGCTCCTTAATCCAGAATGAAGGTACTCTAATACAGAAGGTATGTTACTGGCCAGATCACCTGGTGAAAACAGAGGGAAAAAGCCTTAAAAAGAAAATGAATGCAGCCACCACATCTAATGATTGCGAAGCTGCAATGAATTACATTTTTGGTTTTGGGTTTAATACCGCCTTAAGGGTTGATTGTGATCCATGTTGAAAACGTTTGTTTCAGGAACTCCGATTTTAAATTTTTAATCATTGGGTCAAATTTGATGTTCATTTAAAACCGCATTGATGAGAAAATTCAAAAGAGCAGGATGGAAAGGTTTTTCTTGAAAGAACAAGTTTCTATCGATATGACATTCGTCAAATTATCAATTGTTTGGGGAATGTTTGTGTGAATGATCGTTCAAAAATCTACTAGTGTATGGTCAGCTTTACACCTGAGTTCCAGTTGCATTAGAGCCTTAACAATGCTGTATCTGCAGACTAACCCTGGTTCCCTCTTCTGATCTGTCTCAAAAACAATTTATCCAGTTATAAGGGTCCATGCACTCTGGCTTAACCTCCCTAGCGGTCTGATTATGTCAGTATTTCTGTGCTCAAAGCGGTACATTTTTTGTATGGAAATGGTTTTTTTTTTTTTTGGTTTTTTTTTTTTTTAATGTAGGCCTGTAATTTTTAGGAATAACTCACTGAAATCTGTCTGAGTCTAGTAAACATCCTGGGTATGTTAAAATTTGAAACCCGAAATCATAAATTATAATTTAATAAATAATCATAGAAAATAGTAATAAAATAAATTGAATTCAACAATATAATCAAACCAAAAACACTGAAATTTGAAATATAGCGCCAAGTTTGCACATCACTGAGCAAAGTCGCAAAATCGTTTTCAGTGTCTGTTGACGAATTTCCCTACGAATCATCACTCAATTCTGCAAGTAGTTCTAATTTACTATCGCTGTTCTCTAGCTGGTCTAAAACCACTTTTGACCTAAAGGGACGCTTTTTGGACGCCATGGATATTTCTAAGTTTCCAGGCAGAATGAACAGTAAAAATGCAGGCAGGGCACAGGACAAAGCACTAGAGACAAAATGTATGTGAAATGCTTTGATACAGTAATGTTTTTATTATGTGATTTTAGTGTATTTAGTGAATGTCACTTTTTGACATTTTTAAATTTCGCGCCGTTCCGTCCCCGTACGTCCTGACGTCGCAGGGAACGGAACCCAGAAGACGGATGCCAGCATCTGCTAGAGGACATCGCCGGGGACATCGTGGGAGTGCAGGACAAAGTAAGTGAAGAAGGGATCCCGGAGCAACACTGCAGGGTATTCCCGAGTGTAGCTCAGGGTTACCGCTTGTGGTGCTGAAACTTTACCCCGAGCTACACTCGGGAATACCTCCAGGGAGGTTAAAAAAAAAAACAAAACAGAGCATATTTCTACAGGCATTTAGGAGCATCTAGCATTTTTTTTCTGCCATAAAACTCAAAACTGCAAACCAGAAGGGGGATTTTTTCTGCCTTTAAACACTGAGCTTAAAATATGCCTGTAAACGTCCTAATGTGCATGGACACCTAGAGTAACAAATGAGCTGATTCTACAGGCAAAATGCAAAACATTTGTAGAAGCAGAGTTTAAACCTAGCATAGATGGACCCTTAAAGTTCTTTATATCGGCTCTGCTACAGCAATGTCTATTACCATTTAAAATGTGAAGCCACGTTTTTAAGCAGATAAAAGGGAACAAATTGGGGGCATGATTCACTCTCTGTCCCAATGAACCTAAAAGTGAGAGAAAATCTCTTGACAGTGAGAGGAAATCCCCTCTTAGACAGAACAGGTATAGCCATTTCATGATTTGCCACCAGAGGATAAAGTGATAGGAAATCCAAAAATGTAGATGTTACTGGAACACTAGAGAGCAAAGGCTACCAGGATAAACAGAGAAAATGAATGTCTGCAAGGAGACTCGGATGGCAATGTAAAGCTGACAATTGCCCATTCTGTCTAAAACCAAATAAAGTTTGCTTTAGTTATCATTTAGGGGGAAAATGAATTAATGTTATGCAGATGAAGAACTGGATTTCAATTCTTCCATTTCAGATCCTGGTCAAGTTATAAAAATAAAATACACCATATTGGAGGTGATACAACAGACATTTCTAAAATTGTCACAGAAGTAAGTACACATAGAATGCATGAAGGTAAAAAAAAACCTTGAGCCTTTACAACCACTTGAACATGTTAGTGACCCTGTCTGAAGCAGGCTTTCTGTTATTAATTTTTCCCTTCCCCCTTCCTTATTATAGATAAAGTTGTTACATTTTCTGTAAGTGTCAGGCTGTCTGTGTTCTGCAGATTCTCTTACCCCCTACTCCTGATGTCACCAAGTGCTGGAAAAGCTTTGCATGATCTGAAGAGGTAGTGCATCTGCACAAACCACTGAACATATGACACTGACATGTGCAATGTAAATAATGCAGTAATAGTTCAGCACTTCCTGTTAGTGACTGTGGTCTGCACTGCTTCCTAAGTGTGCACTATGGTGCCACCTTCTAACGTGCACTACAAGTGGCTGTTTCAACATACATTATGCCGGCATGGTTGTCACCACCAGGAAACCCTCCCTGAGAAATGCCATGCAGCTATTGCTGGAGTGCATTTAGATGCGGCTGCAAATTAGATGTGAGAGACCAGCAGTACTGACCTGCAACAAGGATGAAAAAATGATTGAAAACTGTTTTTTCTCTTCTGTTCATTTAAGGACACAGTGAAGATCTTAGATCTTGGTCAATGGATTGTCAGCACAAAATAAAGCACAACAGTTTTTTTTCCCTAGAGTCCGGGAGTAAGGATCCCTGCTGGGATTCTTACTTTATTTGTTTTTATCTTTAACAGCTTCCCGACAGCCCTATAGCAGAAATACTGCTACAGGGCGGCAAGGGTGCCCAAAATCACGTGTGTGTGTATGTATGTGTATGTGTATATATATATATATATATATATACATATACAGTTGTGGCCAAAATTATTCAACCCCCAATGCTGTAAAGGGGTTTAGGGACTATAGTGTACATTTGGAATTGTATTCAGAATCAAATCCTACAAGGACGTTGTAACTACCCAAATGCAACTAAAATGACATCAATTGTTTATGTAATACAGTAGTAAATGGTTCTTATGTGGTTTCTTCATTGCCACAATTATTCAACCCCTTAAAGACTACCACTCTGAAGAACAGAGGTTCATACAGGTGCTTTCCATCAGGTATTGAAAACACCTGTGGATGTCACCGAGCAGCAATCAAGCATAATAAGCACCAATTAGGCAGCTTTAAAATGACTGTGATACTCAGCTCCTTCTAGACATTTACTGGTGTGGTTACAAACATGGTGAAGGCAAGAGAATGGTCCAGGAAGACAAGAGAAGAGGTGATTTCTCTTCACAGGAAGGGCAATGGCTATAAGAAGATTGCAAAGATGTTAAACATACCAAGAGACACCTTAGGAAGCATCATTCGCAAATTCAAGGCAAAGGGCACTGTTGAAACGCTACCTGGTCGTGGCAGAAAGAAGATGCTGACTTCGACTGCTGTGCGCTACCTGAAGCGTAGAGTGGAGAGAAGTCCCCGTGTGACTGCTGAGGAACTGAGAAAAGATTTGTCAGATGTGGGTACAGAAGTTTCAGCCCAGACAATAAGACGCACACTGCGTAATGAAGGCCTCCGTGCCAGAACTCCCAGGCGTACCCCCTTGCTGTCTCCAAAGAATAAGAAGAGTCGACTGCAGTATGCCAAAAGCCATGTGGACAAACCACAAAAGTTGTGGGATAGTGTTCTGTGGACTGATGAAACAAAATTAGAACTGTTTGGGCCCATGGATCAACGCTATGTTTGGAGGAGGAAGAACAAGGCCTATGATGAAAAGAACACCTTGCCTACTGTGAAGCATGGTGGAGGGTCAATCATGCTTTGGGGCTGTTTTGCTTCTGCAGGTACAGGGAAGC